GCGCGGCTGAGGCAGCGGCTGAGGACGTTACGGAGTTCGGCGGAGGCCAAGAATTCCGGGGTGGCTTTTTGGTGGCGACCGGAGAGGAAAGGGATGACCTCGGGGTGCTCCTCCGTCAGACGGGTGCAGAGCTCCAGGAACTGCGGGGGAAGAGGGGTCACCCGGTGGGGACGGAGAACCTGAGGTGGCACGGGGACATCGCCGGGGGGGGACAGTGACGCGCAGAGAGAACGTAAGTGATGGCGGAGCGGGGACAGACACCCGGGGAGGTGATGGAGGGGAGATGGAGACACCGAGATGACATGGGGACACCAAGGGAGGGACAGGGAGGTGATGGAGGGGAGATGGAGACACCATGGGGAGATGGAGACACCGAGATGACATGGGGACACCCAGGGAGGGACAGCGAGGTGACAGAGGGGGGATGGAGACACCCAAAGTGGACGTAGGAGATGGCAGAGGGGGGACAGAGACACCATGGGGGGACAGGGAGGTGATGGAGGGGGGATAGAGACACCATGGGGAGATGGAGACAACCAGGGAGGACATAGGAGATGGTGGAGGAGAACAGAAAAACCCAGGAGGGACAGGGAGGTGATGGAGAGGGGATGGAGACACTGAGATGACATGGGGACACCAAGGGAGGGACAGCGAGGTGATGGAGGGGGGACGGAGACACCATGGGGAGATGGAGACACCGAGATGACATGGGGACACCCAGGAGGGACGTGGAGGTGACAGAGGGGGGATGGAGACACCCAAGGAGGATATAAGGGATGTTGGAGGGAAGACAGAGACACCAACCAGGCACAAGGAGGTGATGGAGCACAGATGGAGACACTGCTGGGTGATGGAGACCCTGAGGTGACAGGGGGACACCAAGGTGGGAAGAAGGAGGTGACAGAGAGTGGATGGAGACACTCAAGGAGAACGTAGGAGATGGTGGAAGGGGACAGAGACACCATGGGGGGACATGGACGCGATGGAGGAGGGACAGAGACACCATGGGGAGATGGAGACAACCAGGGAGGACATAGGAGATGGTGGAGGAGAACAGAAAAACCCAGGAGGGACAGGGAGGTGATGGAGGGGAGATGGAGACACCGAGATGACATGGGGACACCAAGGGAGGGACAGGGAGGTGATGGAGGGGAGATGGAGACACCATGGGGAGATGGAGACACCGAGATGACATGGGGACACCCAGGGAGGGACAGCGAGGTGACGGAGGGGGGACAGAGACACCCAAGGAGGATGTAGGAGATGATGGAGAGGGACAGAGACACCATGGGGGGACAAGGAGGTGATGGAGGGGGGACAGAGACACCATGGGGAGATGGAGACACCCAAGCAGGATGTAGGAGATGATGAAGGGGGACAGAGACACACAGGAGGGACAGGGAGGTGATGGAGGG